ATTGTGAGAGGGAGCAGGCCAGGCTGAGGGACCCCACCAGTGCACAAATTCGTGCACCGGGCCTCTAGTTACATAATATGTGTGGATTCAGTGTTCTTAGTTTCAAACAACTAAAACCACTTTAGCAAATTCTAGCAGGCCACAAAAATATTGGACAATATCAATGTATTAGTTTGCCAAGGCTGCCATAATAAAATACCACAGACTGGGTGGACTAAACAACAGAAATTTATTTTCTTGCAATTTTGGGTCTGGAAGTACAAGATCAAGGTATTAGCAGGGTTTGTTTCTTCTGAGGCTTCTCTCCTTGGCTTGTGGTTGTTGTCTTCATGGGCTTTTGTCTGTACAGAGCCTCCTTAGTCTCTCTCTCTTGTGTCCTAATCACCCCTTATAAAAACATCAGTGATATTGGATTAGGGCTTAGCCTAATGACCTCATTTTAATTTAATCATTCTTTTAAAGGCCTTATTTTCAAATGTAGTCACATTCTGAGGGATGAGGGTTAGGGCTTCAATGAATGAATTTTGGGGTGTAACACAATTCATCCCATAATAATCAGCTACCTCTCCAGAATAAGGCTATGGAGTCAGCAACAGCTATCAGTTTAAACCACGTGTGAGCATGTCCATGAGCACAGCATTACTGTTCCTGTTGAGCACAACAAAGACATCAATTTGTTTTTATAGCTGGGCCTGGGATACAACCTCCAATGTAGCAGACAGATATATATATATATTCTGTTGAAATTTTTAATTTTAAAGTTGAGAAAATAGCCTACCTGAATTAAAGGAAAATGTTCTCATTAATTCTGAATGAAAAAGGATGTTTGTCATCAGCCTTCTCAGAAACATTAAATGTTTAGAAAATTTTAAAAGAAAATGCTTGTGAACCAAATAATTCCCAACAATGTAATGTCACATACATGCCAACAATACTGTTTCCATACATTTTCTAAAAATATTGTCAAGCAACTATTTTTACAACTCAGTGGGAGAGTGAATAATAATAAGGAATTTTAGAATGGGGGAGAAGTATTACAAATGAAATGAGAACAATAAAATATATAAACAAATTATTATAAAACTGCAAAAGTGTGAAAAGTAATTATTCAATGAGAAGCTACATAATTTAGAAATTAAGTTAACTAGAAAAATTATCACCTAAAATAAACTGAGATATGAGGATCTGGAGGGGAGAGTAGAAATAAAAGCAAATTGAATTTCTCACCTTACTCAGAATGAATCATTTCAATGTTAGTAAATAGCAAAAAATAAATTCTTTTAAAAATTTGAATAACATTAAATAATATGTAGAAAATTATTTTTATTTAGAAGTTACTACCAGTAGAATAATAAAAGTTTGTGTAACATCCACATAATTTGTAAGTAAAGAAAAAGAACAACCTTATGTACTAAAGGAAAAGAAAATAACTGCAAAGTAAACAATGACACATGAAGATTAAAATAAGAGATGAGGTTGTGTAAATAGAATGAAGCAGAGCAAGAATATTCATACCAGATGAAGTTGAAATCAGGTAAAAGGCAACAAAGGAAAAAGAAGTGTTGTTGTTTTTTTAATTTATAAAAGAATCACTATGCAATAAAGATAATGACGTCATAAAATTTTATGTGCCAAATGGCATCACAACGAAATATATAAAGCAAGAATAGTTAAAAGCACAATGAGAAATTTACAATCCTAGAGCAAGAGTTTAAAATACCACAGACAGGCCAGCCAAAATTTCAGTGATACATTTAAAGGTGTAGAACTTTCTCTCCTTCAAACAGAGACTATTCAACAAATATCCATGAACAGTTATACAAGTTTATCACATATATTTTTAAATGAACTTTGTGAACATCCTAAAAGTACATGAATTGCATATTTGTTATCATGAAAATGATGGGGAAAAAAACCACACTTGTAAGTGCTTTGCTAAGAAATAGAACATTACCCAGAAGCTCCCTGTTTTCTCCTATTATTCCCCCCCAAATGCCTTCCAAATAAATGTTTTCCCAAATTCTGCTTATTAGTCTCTTGCTTATCTGAACAGTTTTACCAAATATGTATATATCCCTTCACAATTGTGAACATAGACTCATGCAGTAAGAAGTCTTCTGCAATTTGCTCCTCATCATGTTTTTGAGATTCTCTGAGGTAAATTTGAATAGCTGCATCTCATTCATTGGCATTTGAATAATAGTCTGTTGTGAATGTGCCATAGTTTATTAGCCATTCTTCTGGCCAGTTTTATTTCAGTTGTTGGGCGTGTGTTTTTTCCAGTTTTTATCAGATCTTCTCTGAGTATCCTCACACATGTCAACAGGCGCATGTGCACAAATTTTCTGTACTGGTGCCTTTCAAACTGTAGAGCCAACTTGTTGGTAAGTGATTACATCAATTTTGTGAGCTGCAATGAGTATTTTAAAAAATAAATTAATTAACTTTTAAAAAAAAACATACACACACAATCAAAACAATAAGAAAAAACAACATTAGGTGATTACATTTTTGTGAGCTGCAATGAGTATTTTAAAAAATAAATTAATTAACTTTTAAAAAAAAACATACACACACAATCAAAACAATAATAAAAAACAACATTAGGAGTGAGACAGGGAAGGTGATCACAGATTCTGAGCAGATTGAAACAGTTAAAGATGAGTGTAAAAAATTCCAT